CTTGTTTCTTTCTGTCCAATATTTGAACTAGTTCTTCCTCATGTGTACAATTTTTTTCTCTGTCAGAACCACTGATAATCTTATAGCATAAGTTAAATTTGAAGTCTATTTACTAAGCCTCAAACATATGGAATACATGTTGAACCGATACCTTAAATATCATCCTAATGATCAATATGTGATTTTTTAGCTTTTCATTTTATCATCTAACGATAATATATACACAACTTCAAGTTCAGCTCCTTTTTGTATGCAAATATACCTTAACCTCATGTGGTCAATAAGTATTGATCTTCCCACCATGTGATAACGCCACAATTCCTAAATGTCAATCCCAATATAACCAACCATATATCATGATTAATCATACCTCTTTAATAATCTAAAACATAATCAATATTTTATCATCCCACTTACAGAGCATTTTCCAAACTATAGCATAAAATATTATTGTGAATCAATCTCTTATCATCTTTAGATATAAGAGCAAATATTTTCTCAAAATTTCCTGATAAAAAAACTTTTGACATTTCTATACACATACAAATTTTGTTCTTTTTTTCTATGAAGAGACATAATAACAATTAATCCATGAAAATCTATACTCTTATTCCATAAATAGGTTGTTGATTTATCATCAATGCGTAATTCTTCTTGTATATCGCATAAAGAACTTTAATTAAGATAATGTAACTTAAAGATACTATTTCACAATGAGTAAAATCTATATTTGATGATCATCTTAAACTTTAGACATAGTCAACTCAACATGTCCTGCTTATATTCCTTAACACATATTTTGATAAAAAATGGAATACTTTGTTCATGATCCATACAATTGAAAATAACCCAAAAATTACATCACTAAAATTTCAATAAATTCATCTGAACTTCAAAATTTAATTCAACGCTTCCAAATTGTATGGAATATAACACGATAATCCATCAAATGACCTAAATTAATTAACTGAATAACCCAAATCTATCATCACATTATTTTGCTATAGGACAACCATTATATTCATTTACATGCTATTCACCATATCATGTTATGATTATGTAACCTTGTCATTTATCATCATATCATATGACCTAAAACATTTAATTGTATCAATTTTCCTTAATATTACAAGATAATAACCTTCATATTTATCACATGAACATTTCACACATCAATATACCACATGTTAATTTCTAAATCTCAATAAATTTCAACTCTACCATTATCTAATTTATTATTTTTTTATTCACATAAACATACCTAAATGTACAAATCCATTTAATTCTATTTCTAAGGCAACAAATCACCCCATAATAAGTAATCATTATGAAGTTCATCCCTATTATTCTCACATTCTTTATAATCAAACAACTCATAAATAATTGAAATAATTGGAATTACCGTTAATTTTTTCGATGCCTAAAATACACAATAACACATTGTTATCTATCAATAAACAAATCATCATTTTATCTTCCACAATTTCTTATCATATAGCATATATATACACCATTATGATTTCTATTATCATCCCATATGAGTTACCACAAATCACCACAAAATTTTGATAACACTAATGACTATTTCGCTTCAAAAATAATTAAAATTCCTCACTGATTGTCACCAATCACACATCATATCATTTCCTTGTATTTATCGTGTAAGCTATAACTAATTTTTTTCCCTATGTATACATAAAAAATCATGTAGGTCTACATATAAATTTATAATTAAGTGGACGTAACATCCGTAACTTCGAATGCCTCGCAAAATCATCACAATCTATTGAAATCTTAATAGGTTACATATACACATACTAACAACCCAATAACTAATAACATTTCCAACCATCAGATAATTGCAACTACCATACTTACATACTAGTCGTTTCTAAATATGTTAAACATATTTTTTTTTTATCATTTTTGGTTCCATATATTCGAGCTAGAGAGCTTGTGATTTTTGCCACCTCGATATGTGATCATACCCACTGAACATGCATGATATACCAATGCATGAATCATAAAAATTTTCAAAATCATGCTCTAATAGTAAGCTCAAGTTAACTCTCAAGGAAGTGAGTGCACTATGAGTACTAGCGCAATAGAAGACTTTCCATTCGATGGAAACCCATCCTCACTTTAAAAAGTACTAATAGACACACTGGTTTAAGAATCTCGACCACGCCTCCTCCACGGCTCCACCTCAATCTCCCCTCAAATGTGAAGTGAGCCACACACACAGCCCATGTATTTAATAATTCACTAATTAAATAATGTGTATTGTCACCGGTGCTTAACATAATGCTTAGGACATCATAAATCTAATTCACTAATTAAATAATGTGTATTGTCACCGGTGCTTAACATAATGCTTAGGACATCATAAATCTGTGTGTGTGTGGCTCACTTCACATTTGAGGGGAGATTGAGGTGGAGCCGTGGAGGAGGTGTGGTCGAGATTCTGTTGACACAATTTTTGGGTCAACACCAGCCATTGCCATGCTAGAATCTTAATCTTTTAAGTAGATATGGCGTATTTTAGGAATCGTTGACAAAATAATATTATATAAAATATTAATTTTAGCCTTTTGGTCGTGCAGGCATGTTACGGGTAACACGCAAATCAAGCTCAGTCAACCTATTAGTCTTTAATTAACTGTATGTTTGGTTGTTCAATGATAGAGTACGTTTTCTTGCCATTACTGATTTTATTTAATGGCCATTAATTGCGCGTGTTTACATTTTTAATAATTAATATCCAAATGGTATCTTAGAGAATTAAATTTCAAATGTTCCAAGTCGACACTCCATTCTTTCATCTTATTTATTATTTATTTATTTATTTATTTATTTTACCTATGTTGTAATTTTAAGCTTGATGTTTGAGAAAATCACTAGTGAGATATACAATAATGAAGACCAAAAGATTCCCAAAAAATAAAAATAAAAAAATTGGAGTAAGATCTTGATGATCAACTATAACTAGTTACAATTAATTAGGGTGTTTAAAAAAGTTAATAAGATACTTATAACAACCATCGTCATAAAAATAGTAGTTTAAGTCGATTATTGTATAGTTGACCTTAGACCTATTTCCAATTACAGAAGTGAAAAGTTATTATTACGTGTATTATCATACCTGAAAACAAAGATTCGAGACCGATTTCCAATTTTTGTAAATGTTAAGACTTCGACAACAGATTTTCCTTTTTCTCTAAATACATTTGTTTGCAAAATTCATGCCCTAAAATTAACAACAAAACCCTCCCATAGATAAATAAATAAGAATCCTAATGAGTTGCAATAAGATATGACATTAATATCAAAGGATAACTTTTCTTTTCTTTTTCTTTTCCTTTTTCTGATTTGCAATACACAGTAATGGAAATCTGATCTTATGATCTTCACTTCTGTAAGGGAAGCTTCCATTGCAAAGTCATGCAAGTATAGTACCAAAAATATGAAAAAATATTTACCAGATGAGAAAAAGGTCACTAAAAAAAGGGTTAGCGATGAATGGATCGATCACAAGATTTGTCCTGAAAATTTATAATTTCTAACACGAATAGCCCTCTATGAATTAGTGACCAGTTTTTCAATAAATTTAAGGCAATTTTGCAATCAATTAGGTCACGAACCATTAATAATAGATTATCCCTTTTTAAAAAAATTTCGTCAACAATAGAAGAAAATGTCATTAATACAATCCATCGGCCTATTGTTAGAGCATCACCAAAAGATTTTATTTTTAAAGAGCATATTCTACAATTTAATGCATCTCTAAGGAACTCTTTAAGCATAACATCATCTCTATCTTAAAGAGTCGACCTTCAAAAGTATGCTCTAAAAGACTCGTTAAATTAATAATTCAATTTATAGAATGGGTTTAATGTTTCAACAAACTCACTCTCTATAATTAAATGCATTCAAAATATTTCAATTTTTAATGATGGAAAATAATATAATAATTTTAAAGGAAGCTATAGTAAAAATAAACGATAGGAACAAACAATAAATATATTTTCGGAGTACTAAATTTAATTGTTAAATATAAAGAGCCTATTAGAATCCTTAAAAAATTTTACTCTATAAATTTATAGATACTCTTTAAATTGTAGAGTATGCTCTTTAAAAAATAAAGTCTCTTGGAGATGATCTTAGAGAGTAGAAATTTTTAAATACTCCAACAGGTTATTTATATTTAATAATTAAAATATTTATTATTTTTTCCTATACTCTGTTTTCACTAGTTTCCCTTCAAATTATTATATTATTTTTTCTATAGAAAAATTGAACTACTTTCAATGCAATTAATTATAGAGAGTGGGTTTGACTCTTTAAATTTCTCTAAATTAGAATGTTAATTTAAAGTCTCTTGGAACATAACTTTAAGAGGGTTATGTTTAAAATAAAGAGCATTTTATATTTAAAAAGTCTCTTGGAGATACTTTTAGGTATCAATCTAGTGTTTTCAACTAACTAAAGCCCTATTTCTCTTTAGAAAAATTTACATTATATATACACACATTTAAAAAAAAAAAAAAACATATCTAAATCTTAATTATATGAGGTAATTGACACTTTCAATTTGAGAAAAAAAAAAGGGCCAAAAATGGGAAGTGGCTATTATAAAAGAAAGATATCCTTTATGAAAATGCAAAAATACAGCAGATTCAACTGTCCAAGCTGGAATGCCCCAAAAATACCTGGATCAGTTACCATCATTTGTCGACTTATATATGTATATATGTATATTCCAAGTCAACCCTAGTTAACATTTTATTATTCAATTTTGCTAAACGAACAAGGGGTTGACAGGGTTATTTGATAGGAGGATCGAGGTGGCGCCCCTCGGCCCTTGATCCCCCTTGGCCCTCTTGTCAAATAACCCTGTCCCCAATTGCTGTATCAAAGCTATTTATTATTTAGCAATAATTTATGTGACAACTCTTTCATATGACCACTTCACTATATATACATGATCCATAATACTATCTAAACACACAAAAACTCAACACAATTTCTCTTATGAGAATGGCTTTTCCCAAATATCTTGCAGTTTTCATTGCCCTAGTCGCAGTTTTCAATATTAGTAATGCACAAGGCTTGAAGCTCGGCTTCTACCGCAAAACATGTCCTTCAGTCGAGGCTATCGTGAAAAAGACTACAGCCCGTGTCATTTCTCGAGCCCCAACTCTCGCTGCTCCTTTGCTCAGATTGCATTTTCATGATTGTTTTGTTAGGGTAATGTTATATCATATTCATATAAAAATCGATAAAAATTTCAGTTTGTCCCTCGATTTGTGAAAAATGCATGACTTGTACAAATAATTATTGCAGGGATGTGATGGTTCTGTGCTAATAAACTCTACAAGGAACAACCAAGCTGAGAAAGATGCAATTCCTAATCAATCCCTAAGAGGATATGGAGTAATCGATCGAGTCAAATCTGCAGTGGAAAAGAAATGTCCTGGTGTCGTCTCTTGTGCTGATATTTTAGCCTTGACGGCCCGAGACGCAGTTTCACTGGTATGTAACTTAGGCCTTGTTTGAATCACATTATTTTCAAAAAAATACATTTTTCGACATTGATTTGACATTATTTTAACTACACATTCTTTAATAAAATAATATTATACGCAAATCTAAAACATTTCCTTATTTTTTAACCACACATTTCTCATTGATTTGACATGAATAATGTATTTTTTCCCCTATAATGTGGCTCAAATATAGGCTTAGTATACACCTACATACAATGGGTAGAAAGAAAGAAAAAATGAAACTGTAAAGAATACATTTTTATATGCTAGATTGAAACTTTACAGAGACGTCCGTGTATTACAGATTAAAGGGCCAATCTGGAAAGTTCCGTTGGGACGAAGAGATGGAAGAGTGTCGATCATTACGGAGGCTTTGATCAATCTGCCACCTCCTTTTGCTAACATTACTCAACTCAAAGCATCATTTGCCTCCAAGAATTTGACTACAAAGGACCTAGCTGTTCTGTCGGGTAACATGATGAAATAGGTTAAGTAGTTAAGTTATTCATTAAAGCACTTTAATATGGTATCAACGCATGAACATGTTAAAGAGTTCAACTCTCCCTATCACCCATTTACGACGCTAATTTTGACCTCTACTCACAGGTGGAGTTTGTTTGGACAAAATTTTACTTAACCTTTGTTTGGTCCTCGTTTTCTAAAATTCGATTTTTCTCAAATTTATTTTTAATTATATATTTAATGAGATCTGCAACTTTTATGAACTTTTTAACTATACGTTGTATCAACTTTTATCAAAATATACTAAAAATATGATTTTTATCTAAGCCAAACATCGACTTAATATAAGGGTTTTATTTCTAATAGTTTGTTGTAGTTGAACTTTAATTCCTAATTTGAGAAAAAAAAAATATTGAATAAAAAAGAAATGAGAAATGCACAAAGCGAATACAAATTTATAGTTGTTCACACTTGATGTTAGAGTTACGTCCACTTTTCGCTTCACACTTGGAGACTACAAAGTTTCTACACGTCGCTTTATCTTGGTTATACAAAAACGTTCTACCCCTCGGAAGATTTTTCATGTATGATAGGAATATTTGAGCGATCTGAACATAGTTCATTTTCGTATACAGGATCACACACCATAGGAACTTCTCACTGCTCCAGCTTCTCAAGCCGTTTGTACAATTTTACTGGCAGAAACGACACCGATCCTACGTTAGATCCAAACTACATTATTCGATTGAAGAGCAAATGCAAGCCAGCAGACCTCACAACACTTGCGGAGATGGATCCCGGCAGCTTTAAAACATTCGACGAAGACTATTATACACTAGTAGCTAAAAGAAGAGGGTTATTTCAATCTGATGCAGCTCTTCTTGATGATCCTGAGACAAAAGCTTATGTTAAACTTCAAGCCACTTCCCATGGATCAACTTTCTTTAAGGATTTTTCAAAATCTATGGTGAAAATGGGTAAGATTGGTGTTCTTACTGGAAATGCTGGAGAGATCAGGAAACGATGCGCTTTTGTCAATTAAGAGCATGAGAAAACGGCTTCCTTTGGGGTTTTTTGGGTAGTACGAAGAGTCATACTATTTGCTGACAAGCATTTGTATGTATTAATGTTATTGTTTATTATTCGTTTTGTTGTGACGCGAAATAAATGGAATAAAACATGTATGAGGAATCAAAAAAGTTTGTGATTGATCCTTTCACTGTGGTTTAAGTTTTTAATGATTAAATTAAAGGCTTTAAATAACTAAGATTGCTAGAGGGGAGAGGGCTTCGGAGGGAACATGAAATCTTTACTGGAATTAGAACAGGTTGGCACATTGGTTGTCCAATTGCCTTATACATCTTCTTTCTTAGCCCCACTGAGGTTATAACCTCAGTCTATTGTGTAAGGCGATAGGCTAAATGAAAGATGAAATTAAATGACTCATTTAATTGTATTTGTCATTTAATGTCACAATAGTGCGCCGTAGATTAGGGTTATAATTCCAATGGGACTAAATAACATAACTTTTTAGGAAATTGTTTTCCACATATCCCAATTATCACAAACTTCATGTCTTTGGTTGCTTGTATTACTTGTTACATCTCTTCTAACAAGGCTTAAAAAACTCCTACATGGCAGGAGAACCTGGCCCCGTACTCCACGCCAATCTGCCCAAGAAACCGTTTGGACGAACCCTGTAAAGAAGCCAACCTCCATGAAGAGCCAAACCCATCGCCTCTGCATCAGCCACCTTCGTCAGCAGTGGAGGCCTCAGCCTTTAACCTCTTCAACTCTGCCTCTGCATCAGCCACCTTTTGATAGAATTATTTGTTTAGTCTCTACTACCTCTTCAAGTCCATTTAGGCATTTAGAAAGAAGCCTTGTAAATGAGCCTGTAGGACGATGCCAGCTTCTATCATGTCAATTGAGTTATAGGTCTCGGCAAACGAAGAGTACTTAACAGTCAATATTTATAATGACTCTTGCAACCGCCTAAACCTCGATAAGGAGCATCTCCAAAACAACGAGCGTTATTTCATCTAACCTCCATCTTAGGAAGTTCTGAGCTTTTCCTTTCGAAACCCCCATTTGCTACCTCTTTCACCCTTCTCTATATATGGCTAGTCTTGTTACAACTCAAAATTTTCTAGTAAAAAATCAAAGTTGAATTGTCAAAGTCAAAGTCAAATTGGGACTAAAATGAAATAATTATTTTATTGGGGCTTAATTTATTATGAAAAATATTTTGAGGGTTTAAGATGAAGAAAATTTAAATTTGGGGATCTACTTATATAGTATTGAAAGATAAAGATTCAATGTGGTTTTATATGAAGGTTGGAGGACTTGTTTTGCAATTATGAGTTAGAGCCATTAATTATTAAACAAATATCCTTTTTTTTTCATTTGGGCATTGATATAAATACAAAAAGGGGCAGAAAGAAGCAGAAAGACCAAGAAAGAAAAGGAAGAAAAACAGGAAAGCAAAGAGGAAAAGAAGAAAGGAAAAAAAAAAAAAAGACAGGAAGGAAGAAAGAGGAAGTAAGTGTTGATTTCTTCATGCTTGGGTTTATTTACTTCATTTCTGTAAGAGATTAAAAAGTAAATGTTTTATGGTATTATAATGTTAAATTTATAGGGTTTAATCAGTTGGTCTAATTTGAGGGTTTAATTTTCAGATTTAGTGGAGGAGTATAATTTCTTGATTGATTAATTTTTAGTTGAATCAATGTAAGTAATACCATTTTTGGACAAACCCTAGAAATTTTATTTGGGATTCTTGATTAAGTATTGTTAGTCGAAATGATTGTGGTGATGAAATACTCAGATGAGAGAATGATTTTATGGAGCAAAATGGAAAGTTAGGTTGGTTGAGTTGTTTATGTAGTTTTCACTAGATTGAATGATAAATGTTTTTATGCTTGGAATGAATGCTATTTTGATGAATTAGTTATTAATAAAGGGACTAGAATAAAGTGCCATTAGCTCCAATTGATTAAAGGAAAATTTGGAAATTTTATTCAAGTATCGAAAAATTTAGTTTAAGTATTATATCATTAGAGATAAAAGATTTCTTGATTTGATAGTGTTTAAATTGGTTATCTTATATCGTATTTCAGGTGGTGACGAGAAGATTGGAAAAGCCTACCAACCATCTTGGCTATAGTTTGTATTATGTGAGGGGAAAAAATTTTATTTTTCAAAAATAAGTATTCATTAAATTTAAAATTAATTATTTTATATAGTTGGTTTAACATGATGATTTTCAGGATAAGTGGATCTTATAGTTAGTTGTTTTTAAAGTTAAATTTAGTACAATTAAATCATTTTCATAGCATGTTATATTCGCATTACATATTTCAGCTCATCCAAAGTTATTTTTAAAACCACCATAAAAAACCCATGTGATTTTACTATAGTCTGTACTTGTGTGAATGTGTTTCCATAGTGCATAACGCCATATGATTATTTTACCCACTCCTGCACTAGTGTACTTGTGTGAATGTGTTTCCATAGTGTATGACCCCATATGGTTATTTTACTCACTCTGCACTGGTGTAAATGTGTTTCCACAATGTATGATCAATTATGATGATTTTACCTACTCTGTACTATTGTGAATGTGTTTCTATAGTGTATGATCATATTATATTCTTTTGACAACTCTGTGTGTGTATAACAAGAATTTTAGAATTTCAAAATTTCAAACTTACAGAATTTAATAGCTTTGCCACGTGTATCGATATAAGGTTATTTTGGGTACCTTTGTGGTGTGATTTTTAGTAATTTACTGCTTATCAGTTTTCAGATTATAGAACTTAGTTATCTCAGTTCAAAGAATAAAGAATTGAGCTTATAGTACAAAATGATATTTTTATTATATATTGTTTTCAGAAGGTTGGCATAAATGGAATATATATATATATACTCCACTCACTGAGTTACAAGTTCATACATTTTATCACCATTTTTCTTATTTGATAGTAGCTGAATTGAATAGCATTGGAACCTGTTGATCTACCGAGTTGAGCCATACATTGTTGATCGTTGTATGATTCATCTTATCAGTTCATATAGTTTATGTTTTTGGGATTCCTGCATCTTTTGTCAGAAAAGCATAATTTGTAAATTATGTATCCATATCATGGGCCTACTGCATTTTTGTATATATTATGCATTTGGGAACTTTTGTTTGTAAATAATTGTAAATGTCGATTTGCCAGTGTAGTATTTTGAATAGTTGTGCTTTGAGGGGCTATTGTATCCTATTTTAAATCACATGTACATGTTCAGGAAATTTGATTATATTTGAGGTGGTTTTAGTTCATATTTTAAAAGAAACCTTGTTAAACTTTTTATAGAAATATGTTATAGTCAAAGTAGGTCAAAGTTGTTTGGTGATGGGTTCGGCACTTAGCTGGTATTTAACATCAGCATAAGACACATGTCAGGTCCATTAGTGTGATTCGAGGGGAGTCGTGTCAAACTCATCTCCGGCTTGTTTCTTGAGCTCGATTATTTTCATAGAGAAGATGGGTCTACAACAATGGGCTTCTTTATAGACTCATCAATAGTCGTTTGGCCCTTTGGCGGGAGTTTCAGTGTTCCTTGTTATTATCTATCTCCTCTTTTGAAGCCTCTCTCCTTAAAGCTTAACATTTCTTTCCCTTTTCTTTCTGAGAAAGGAGGAGGTTCAGCTTCGACATCTCTGCTAGTTCGTCCCTTTAATTTTTATAAGTAGAGGTGCTGGAACTCAAGGGCCAGCGACCCATAAAGAACAAGTCAGGCTTGACATATTCCTTCTTATCATGCTAGTCTGCAAGGAAAATGAAGCATTTACACATTAACACTTGATTAAATTTGAGGAACAAAATATATATGGATGGCAAAGCTACTTACCCTTGCAGCCACCAGTGAATGTGTAACAAAAGGGGCCTATCTCATAACGACAATCTTAAATGACAGATGTTCAATGGGCAGCTCGTATGTGGCTTGCACTATAGCCCACTCTTCTGGTTTGACCTCGAACCGGTTGACTACCACTACATAAAATTCAAGTTTGAAAAATTGGCCAAGTAAAAAGAATATACAAGTAATAGAAACACTTTTTAAAAAGAACTCACAATACTCATGTGAGAAATGGTGAAGAAGCTAGGGCGCCTAGGCGCGGTGCTGCATGGGCAGAAACATGGCGCCTAGGCACCCCGATACCAGAAGGGAGGCAGGAACATGGCGCCTAGACGCCCCGATGCTGAATCCGGGATACACCTATATAAAGCTGTGTTTTTCCCTTCATTAGATAATACCCGATTTTGAGAGAGAAAAATAGAGAGGGCTTGGATAGAATTTATCAAATAAGAGTTTGTTTTTCTTGGGTATAAATCCAAAGCCATTTTTCTTTCTTTGGGATTAACTTGAGGCTTGTTCAAGTAATCCAATCCATTGTTCTTCTTATATATTGAAAATTCATTTCTTCCCTAATTTCTTATCTTTTCAAGTAGTTTGAGATTTTTTCACATTTCAAATTTTGTTTGATCTTGGGCATCTTGGGAGTGTTGTTTACCCAACAATTTGGTATCAGAGCATCTTCTTAAATCCGAGTGGTTAAGCTCCGATTTTTGGTGGGTTAGCTTGAACTTTGTTGTGCACACAAGGTGTTTGTGAAAATTTCCAAGTGAACTTTGTTGGTTTATTTCCGGTAAACAAGTAGATAAATCATATCTACTAGAGGAACGGTGAAGATTGGGAAGTATGAGATAGAGAAATTCAATGGGAAGAATGATTTCTCATATTGGAGAATGCAAATGAAAAATTTGTTAATTTCTCAAAAATTGCACAAGGCATTGGCGGGAAAGGAGAAGAAGCACATAAATATGTCTGACGAGGATTGGGAAGAGCTAGATCTTGAGGCATGAGCGTCTATCATTCTATGCCTTGAAAGAGATGTTGCTTTCTTGGTTGATGGTGAGGAAACGGCGGCGGAGGTGTGGACAAAGTTGGAGACGAACTTCATGACGAAGACTCTAACTAATTGGATCTATTTGAAGTCCAAATTGTATACTTGCAAGATGGATGAAGGTACACCAATCCGGGAGTACATCAACAAGTTTGATAGGTGCATATCGGACTTGAAGGACATTAATGTGAACGTAGATGATGAGGATCAAGCACTTCTACTACTTCTTTCATTGCCAAAGTCTTACGAGAACCTAGTACA